ATCTCCTAATTTTCTTCATATAAATAACATCATTCTCAAACAGGACTCAGAGAAAAGAGTTTTGACACTTGTACCAGTACATTTAGCTGTATCAGAGCAAATACCAAATAAACCTCTTCGTTCAAGAATTGCTTATGATTGCTCTCATAGTTTGCCAGTGCTACTTTCCAGTACTATTGCAAGTTGTAAAATAAGCACACAAACAGGAAATGATGCCTCGCTTTGCAAAGTGCAAAACTGTGAGGCTACTAATACACAGAAAAAGTTTGATAAAAGTAACACAGTTATTCAAACCACTGGCCAAGAAATTGAGTGTGCAACCAGTGTAGACAATACTTTCACTGAGCAAGAACACACATTATGTACCTCAATGAATCAAGACGACTCTTGTCTCTCTGATGTTGAAGTCCTGCCCCAGCGGAACAGAACAAGTGATGCTTTACTACAGGAAGTGATTCACCTTATACAAGAGGAGTTTGCATTTGATGGCTATCTAGAGAATGGAGTTGAAGTTTTTGATATGGGTACGTTCATTTTCTTCTGTATATTGGCATTGCTGTGTAAGAATATTGTTACTAATGTTTTTCCTCTTTTGTTTGTGTCTCTGTCATCTTTTTAAACAAGGTAACTTCATTTTAAACTTAAAGGAAGTTAAGTTTGGTATGTTCTCTGATAAAATTTGTGAGAAGTTTTGTGATCTCTACTGGGATGAAAAATTACTGGAGAATCTCTATCAGGTAGTAAATGGAGAAAGACCTTCACATTTATGGTAGGTTTTTTTCAACTCTTTCCTTTTTTCAATTCAATTTAATGCTTTTCTTGCTACTCCTAGAAGGAGGAAAGGATATGCTGCTTCTCTTCAGGTGTCCGTACTTGTTTCCTGCGAACTGTTAATTTCCCAGTCTATTCTTCATGGCTTTCCTCATAGTAAATAGCGCTTAATGGCTTAGCAAAAAATATTTTCTACTAAGCTTGTCTGTAACTCCATCTTAGGATAGTTGAATAATGGAAACCTAATTCTGATCAGTATTATTTTCAAACATTGATGGGGAACTTCATAGTCTGTTAGAAAGAGGCTCTTTAATCAGAAGTGAAATATATTTTTCTTACTGTTCAGTTTGCTTGTTCTGTGTGAGTTTAGTTCTTTATACATCCTTTTGTTCTAGTTGCACCTAAGAACAAGGAAATTAATTTAGCTTTGCTAGAAATGTTTTACTTAACTGGTTTAGTTTGAATCAGTGTTGTTCCTGGCAGTCTTTTGCAAGTAGCCTGTTAAGTGAGAAAACACCAGCTTAATTTCTCATTTTTACTATTACATCTTCAATGACACATCTACCTGAAAAATAGTAAAATCCATTGTTGTTTTGTTGCAGCCTCCAAATGTAGCAAGCTTATGAAAGCTATGTATTGAAGGCTATTGTAAACAGTCATCAATTTATATCTGGAAGTTATATATGGGGTTTTTGTCTGTTGTGGTCTGGAACTACAAAATGGAAGTTTTGACAAAGAAGCCTTGTTGATACGGTCTTGAAAAACTTCGGTGCTAAGAGATGTATAATCCCTACATCAAGTTTCAGAAAGAATAGGCTATGACCTCTGTATATCAGACCCTGACATGCTGGACTGTTTCCCATTTGGGTTGGGATGTTTAAGGAGCCACTGAAAACTGGTTGGAGTTTAGCCTCTTAATTCCCCAGAGTTTAATGTTGTGGTAGGAGAAACTTGAGCTGTTGCAGCTGAAGTACTGAAATATATGAAGAGGTCATCCTCTATATGAACTTTTGTTACAAAGTAAAATTTTTGAATGTGGGAGTGAAAAGGAAATCGTCATTTATTATCCAGTGTAAAAATACAGGTCTAGCTTTTAGATCACATGTGAGAACTGCCTCAGAATATCTCTGACACACTGCTTGCTTAGCATTCTTTAGACAAAGAATATAGCAGTTTTCAATTGTTACCTTCTTTGATTTAAAATTATGATTGTTCTTATTAGGCATGACTTAGAGTTGGAGGTTGAATCCCGAGTGAAAAACCCATTACAGTAATTGGCAGTCTAAGTTATACCTGGAGTTATGCCCTCTGTTTGTATGTGTTCTGATACTTCTGTTGGAATTTTGCCAAATGCTGTCAGGGAAAATCTCTGTGTCTTACTTAACTTGTGCTTGAAGGTCCATTTGAACATTTCTTTTCTTGTAAAACAACTACTGAAGCTGAACATGAACATCAGGAGGTAGAGAAATGCTATTAAGTCCTTCACATATATAGTAGAATAATTTGTAAGATCTCATTTTACAGATGTAAATATAAAAGTATATGAAACACTAATTTTACCTAATCTTCTTGTATTTCCAGTGTAACTGAGGCAAGTGATTCAAAGTGTGGCAATGTATTCCAAGATCTGAAGAAATCTGATATCTTTTTGTCAAGCAGGGAGCAGACAGAGGGTGAGAAGGGACTTCATGTTCTTAGATACATGTGTGTGTGCTAGGAATCTATCAATGACACAAGTTTTGAGAGATTAGTACTTTGAGTGTGGCTTCAGGAAAACACTCACCTTAGCACTTATCAACATTATCAATGAATCTGAACAATGCCTTGGGGATCTGTTGTCTTTCATATGAAGCTTGCATGTGACTAGATGTCATTGAGTGGGATGGCTGTTTCATTTACTTTCATTTACACAGATGTGTTTGTTGAAAAACTCCCAAAATCTGAACTGCTACGTATGGTTTTCTTGTGTTCATCCAGTAGATGTTCTAGTGACATGCTTTAAGGTAGGGAGAGTGAAGGGGGACAGTCGTACTAAGTCAGCTCCACACAACATAGCAAGCTTAGCTAGGCAGAGAGGAGAGCTTTAGAAAATGCTTATGACTCCTTAGGTGTTACTGAAGAAGTTGATGGCTGTGTGACAGATCTGGTCCTAATTTGTTCACTAATCAGAAATCATAGAATCATAAGGTTGGAAAAGACCTCTAAGATCATCAAGTCCAACCGTCAACCCAACACCACCATGCCCACTAAATCATGTCCAAAGTGCCACATCTACATGATTTTTAAACCCCTCCAGGGATGGTAACTCCACCACTTCCCTGGGCAGCCTGTTCCAATGTTTGACCACACTTTCAGTGAAGGAATTAAACTTAAAACCAGGCAGTAAATAAACAAAATGTATTAAAACAAAAAATGGTATTTTCAATAAAATTATTTACAAATTCTGGGGAAGGGAATTGTATAGAAATCTAGAAATTGAGTTGGTTTTGCATTTAAATGGGCCTTTTTAACTATTCATCAAAAGGGTTTCGTGAACAGGTAAAATAGAATAGTCTTCACATTTCTCCTGAGAGTTCCTCTGCTTCCCTGTTCTATCTGCTGAAGTGCCTTTTTAAAGATAGATAGCAAAATGTACAGTGGGTCAAATGATTTGTTCATCAAGATAGTTTTGCCTTTTAATCACAAACTTGGTTACAGGACATCATTTCAGGGCAGTCATTGAGGTTATATTAGTGACTGTTTGTACTTCAGTGTGGGTTTTGCATTTTTCTTGGCATACTTTGTGATTGAAGGTTTACAAAATACTCCATCTTTCAGTAACTAAACTCAAAACTGAGCTGAGACTGGTAAATCCCATTATAACAAAACCATTAACCTTTCTAGGCTTGGTGTATTCATGAACAGTTTATGTTTGGTTGCTATTGTACCAGTATTTCCTTTTTTTTCAAGATAGTTCTGCCAAGTTTCAGCATTTAAACTTGGTTACTTCTCTGTTTTGAGCAAAGTTAAACTGTGTGTTTTTTACAGAACAGCTTATACTCCTATATTAACTTTTATGGCAAAGCATAAACTTGTAAGTTTGCACTTGACTACTGGCATTCTGTGTTATAATTTTCCATTTTGACTCAGTGTGGAGCCAAATTTCCCATGGGGTATGTGATTTCTTTGCACCAGTAATGTAGGTCTGTTTAACGCCATGGTGGCATATCTAAGCCCTGGAGGGTTGCTGAAGTGAAAAGGGAGACTTCTGGCAGGCATAAAATCTCTTGTCAGCATCATACCAACTTTGACTGTCATCTCAGTCCCTTAAGGTTGGTAGTAGCCGTCATAACTGCAAAGTCCCATGATAGCTCAAGGGAGTGAGTCCTGTAGGAGTAGAAAGTTTAACATCTATGTCCTCTTTGTCTGTATCAAGTATTCTTGACCTCTATGTATGGAATAAAAGCTTCAAGACTTAAGGATGGAGAAAACCTCAAGAGCTAGTCCTTTTAACTAACGTGTGCTCAGGTCTGACATATTTAACCTTTGTTTTAAAGTTTCTGTACAGTGCTTTGTTTAAACATTTGTTGCATGTGCACAGAAAATATTTTGTAATTTTCAGAACTGTATTACTTAACCTATTGCTTAATAGTTCTGAAATGTCTGTAACCTTTATCATTTTACAATGTGTAGTTGAGAAAAAGAAAGCGTAGAGCCAAAATGAGCATCTGACACCGCAGTTACAGCACACAGGTAGTCTCATAACTGCGTTTTGTATGTGTAGTGCTTAAGTTCAACAAAGCATGCGTTGCAGCACATGACTGATTTCTTTCCCCCCCATACACCCTCTTTAGGAGAAGGGGAAGCAACCTTTGATGTGAAGGCTGAGCGTATGATAAATACATCATTAGCTGAAGTGGATTTTGAGTCACCTTTGGATAATAGTAAAAAAGAATTGAGACTGCAGAATACTGTCCCCACAGAGAAAGAGCGACAATGTTTACAAAGCAATGGCTGTTGTATTGGTCCAGGCTTTGCAGAAGAAAATATAGAGCCAGAGGAAGAGACAATGATAAAGGTAGCTGGAAACAGCTACCTTGTGTCTCCTCATCTAACTGACTTTCGTGGCTGTAGTCCTGGTTGGAGCAGTGCATTTTATGGAGCTGAATGTTTTGATTCAGAAGTTCGTAGTTACATGAGAAACCTTGGAAAGCAGAAATCAAGTGAGTCACAAAATATAGATGCTAAAAAAGTGGTGAGTACTTTGATTTAAAATCATTAAGATACCTCTTGCTGTTTAAAAGTATGACAATATTTGTTGTGTTATAGTGAGTTGAAACCTCCTTTCTTCTTTTAAGTACTGACCCTTAAGTATTCTAAAACCCTCAAGATTTGTGACATCTTATCAATAAACCAGGGTAAGGGTAGTATTCCAAAATAAAGAGCACTGACATGAAAATAATAATGCTGACCTACAACTCATCTTCTCTTCCTGAAGTTGACTGGAAAAGTACTGTCTGCTGTATGCACCAACCCCATGGTGGTAATCTTACAGAAAAGAGCTAAGAGTATGACTATGGTGTGTATCACAGGCTCTCGAGATCCTCCCTGTCGTGCTCTGAGCCCTTTTCCTTTGTCACGGTGAATTCCCTGATAGCTTCTTACTGTTTGCCGGCAGAATGTCAATTATTTGCTCACATCTTCTCTTGGAGATGATTAATCTTCCTGTTGAATGCAGCCTCGTGCCTTTTAAGCAGTTTAGGGGGGCATGGGAGAGCATGGTTAGGGAGGGTGGGTTGTTTTAGATTAGCAAGGTCTTTCATTCCCGTAAGGATTGTTTGCATTTACTTAATGTTTACATTTGTGTATCTATCTGTAACAAGCTTCAGTTTGTAAATATTTTTGTAAATATTTCAAGTATAAAGCCACAAAATAAGGATAATATATGAAACTGTAGACACCTGTATGGTTGCAACTGGTTCATGGGAAGGAAAAGGAAAAATTTAAGTAAATGAGTTATTAATACTGGAAGACTGATTAGTATAGGGACACATGGAATTTTCTTGTGTCCCGAGAATGGTTAGTTGTCCAGTTTGTATAGCCTTATTGTTTCTGCCAGATACATGTTTAATAAAGATGAAGCAGGAGTTGCACTGTGTAAAAATAAACAAAAACTTTTTAAAATTTTTTTTATTTAGGACTGTCACTCTCAAAAATTTCCATCTACTGAAAAATTCCTATTTCTAATCCTGTAGGGCTGTTTAATTCCTTGTAAGCATGCCAGCCAGATAAAAAATGGGCTTGCATAATCTCCCTTACTTGATGGAGTAATTCTTGACTGAAGAACAGATTTTTCACAAGTAATGAGGTTTTCATAAGCATCTAAACAAAATTTTCTGTTCCAAGAGGCAGTCTTTTTTACTTTGAGATTTTAGACTACTTGGAAATTCAGTTTGATTCAAAAGGCTGAATTATCTTCTGAGTTCTTGGCAATTGTTTTCTCTATTTAACAGGCATACAACAAAAATTATGCAAGATTTATGGTGCTTACAGTCTGCTTTGGAATTTGCATATGAAATTAATCCATTCTATTATACATTGCTATTATATGCATTAATGCGTAAGAACTTGGCTAGCCCAACAACTGTACAGGAGGCTGGGCGGAAAATAGTCGTGAGGTGTCTGTAGGAAAACTATATTGCGTTTGTGCCCAGTACATTCCACTGGAGGAAGTTTACTGTGGATACAAAGTGTGATTTGTTCAGTTTAGCAATTAGTAAACAAGTCATTTAGAGAACAAGAGAACGCACATTCCGATAGCTGAAAAATATGCATACTACTCTGAGGATAAGTGAACAAATCTTTCCTGCGTTATCTAAAATTAGTGTGAAATCTTAATAGCTGGACAAAATTTAGACTCTAATCTTACTCTGTAATGCAGAAATAATGTATGTGATCTGGACTGCATATGAGGCCAGGTGGACAAACAAGAATAAATAATTATTTGCAGACAATAGAAGCTTGGTATCTTATATAAATAGTCTTCCTAATTTGTGAGATCCCTTTGTGTGCAAGTTGCAAGGAATAAAATTATAAACTGTCATCTTCAATTATGAAGTCAGATTCAGTTTATATTCCACCATTCAGAGAAAAAAATTAATGGAAGATTAAATACGCTTGTACAGCATAGGAATGTTCTGAATGCATTATAAAAGAAAAGTTAATTTTCACAAACATGTATGTGTAGATCCATATATTCTCTGTTGTACTGTCATAAATTATTGGCATTTGTGACTGTTAATGCTGTTAATGTGTAAACAGTGAATAAGAGCTGTACAAATTTCAAGGGAATGATGCACTGTCTGAACCAAAATACTGAGAAAATAAAATGTCTCAATGTGAAAACTAACATGAGTTTTCTGATAAAGTAGAAGTTCAAAAAAGTTAATTATTCTAGTTGCCAGCCTTCTCACTGTAAAATCTCCAGGAGAACTATAAAGTCCAAAGGAAGGCTTGTGAGTGGCTGTTTTGAGCAGGAAGGTGGTTTGAGTTGCAGGAAGAAGGTTCTGCAAGATAGAGCTGCTTGTCTCCACCCTATCCTTCTTTAAATCATCTGTTAGTTTTATTTCAGAAACCAGTTCCTTGATTAATCGTAGTCCAGTTTTCATTGTCTAGCAAGGATTATGTCAACCTGCTTTTTCCCCCTAAGTCTCTGACAGATTTTTAAAAAGTCAGCAATAAAATTGAGCTGATTCTATATCTTTGCAGTAAAGTGCGCTAAAGCAGTGTTTAGGAGTTGCTATTTCACAGAGTGAATGCTTAAAGATAGGTAAACATTTGAGCTTGACTACGTTTGTCCTGACTTAGTGGCACTACACTTTCATAGGGATGGGTCTGTCTGGTAAGTTCAAGTCTAGTCTGCACCTGGAACTGGGTACTGAATGAGAGGCTAACCACACAACAAATTATGGTTTTGGAGACACATACACCTCATTAATACACTTATCTCTCAAATGAAAATACTTGTATGATTCAAATGTTTCTTTATTCACCTTCTAAAACTAAATTCAATTAAATTTATTTAACTTTTCAAATTTTGTATACCTGGAAGTAGGTTTGAGAACATGCAGGTTCTGAGAAACTCTGAGTGCCGGAACATGTAATTATATTTATGACAGAGTTTAATATTCTGACATAAAAATAATTAGCTCTTCTGTTTTTCTACTGGAACCTGTTTGATATTGTCTGCACCTTAGATAGGTTGTGATTTAGTATGATGCAAAAAATAAAACTTTTTTAATATGATGAACAGTATTAACAATAGGATTAACCAAGCTATTATGATTCCAAAAAAATGGTAATATGTTCTCTTATGTTTGGAGGGAATGTGAAATAGCTAATATAAAAAATAAAATATTTATGGATCAAGGTGACACTGTCAAATGTCATAAAAATAATTAATGCCTTACTGTGTAGGTGCTTATCAGATAGTTCATTGGGGTTCTTAAGGTCAGTAAAGGTTAACCTGCATTTAGAAAAGTTAGTCCGTAGGCAAGCAAGCATAGTCTCCTGCCTCACATCACTGCTAGTTCAGGAGCTGCTGATTTTGCACCCTCATACAGAGTGCATCCAGGCAAACCAAACGAAGTCCTTGCAGCAGAGCTGCCATTTCTTCAGGGGGATGTCCAAGTCTGTCCTCGCAATGAGAAGAGCTTTTTTTCTGTAGTCTGATAAGCTGGCTTCAGTTCTCTTGCAGCCCCAAGCCTTCAACCTTGGCCTTTGCCCTTTTCCTCTTTGCCTGCACTAGGTTTCAGTTACCCCCCAGATCTCACAAACTGCTTGTAAGAGTCTCCACCAAACTTCAGTGCACCCAAGCTGTGACTGGGGTGTTTCTAGTGAAGGCCTTGCATATTCTGGACAAAATTTTCTCTTTCCCATTCCTTTTTTGTTTTCCTTTTTGCCAATATTCTGCATCCTTTGGTGGAACCACCCTTCAGCATGTAAAAAACTTATGCTTGGAATTTGCAGTTTTCCCAAGTAAAAGAAGTCACGCTATCATTACTTTGTTCCCTAGACTAAGGGATGTTCTATAGAAAAGTGTCCTGACAAATTAAATGTACTTTAGAGGGAGCAGAACAGTTGACTGTATAGTTTCATCAAAAATGGTTGTATTTTTGAGATAGATATATATATATACTTACCAAAAATGGAAGGTGTAGTGGAATAGAGTGGGAATGTGCTACTGACTTAATTGTTACTCATCTGAGGTTATTTAGGAGACAAACCACTTTGTCCGTCAAATTCCAAACATCAAAAAATGGCCACTCTGGTTCCCTTTCTGTGTTCGTAGTCTCTTAAATCGACTTGGTTTCACTTCAATTTATGAAACAAAACCAAACCTCTAAGTAAAAGCAAGCAGTTTCCAATTCAGAATCTGGATAATAGCTTTTCTGTGCTTTCACTATTCTCTCTGTGACATCTATGTAGCAGTAAGTCTTTTAAAAATCCACAGGGCTTTTGTGACTTTTGCTGCTAATGAACTATGTCGTTAAACCTTTTGAGCTTTTCTGAAAAAGTGGCAGGTTTTTCTCAAACTCAAATTAATTTCTAGTAAGTCAATCCCATTAAAGCTAACCTATTTACCAATCTGTTGTTTGATATGTTAGCTCTGAGCTATGTGTTTTCTGATCATTCTGCTTGTGGGAGTTCTGTCTGCTGCATTCAGTGAACTTACTCTGTTTAAAATGCTGTTTCATGTAACTGGGTCACTGGTAGTTAGCTTAGGACTGGAGTGGAAAAGCACAACACACATCATGTTTGTTGTTTCTTAATAAAGCAGAAGCTGAACCCAAAGTGGATGGCCCATTTTCATTGGTTGGTAAAATAATGAAACCTTTGATATGCAATCAATTATAAATGTCTACATTAAATTTTATATTATTGTGGGAAGCCTGATATACATTCATTTCTATCCATTTCTTAAGTAATATAATTCTATAGAATTATTTTTTCAATTATGTAAAATGTATAAATGTAAAATATGTAGGCTGAACTTCAAAATTTATGTCCTTTATTTATAGAGTAGTTCTCCTGTCTGTCTTCTGACCTGATTGTATAATATAATGTAATTATACTTGTTTGGAAGCCATTTCTTTCAGTCAAACGTTCAGTTCTTGCTGCAAATACAAGTCAGCTGCCTAACAGCATTTCTGGGGTCTGCACTGATTTCAGAATGTATCACTTTCAATTCTGCATGACTTCTGAGTGTAACTTTAAAATGTTCTTGAAAACAACCAGTTAAGTGCAATTGTGACTAAAGGCATATTTATATAAACAGATTTGGACAAACTTCAATGTGATCTCATCATATGCAAACAAGCCCCAGTTTTTAATTTGTAGAACTGTGGCATAACTAACGCTTTTCTGGGGACAGGTGGTGCCTGCTGTAATGTGCATGTAAGGACAGGTGTGAAAGATAGGGGGTTTTGCTGGTTAATGTCATTCTTGTCTGTTTGGAAGTTCTCTTTTTCATACAAAATAATTCTCTTTTAAAACTTCAGTTTCCTACTAGAACTTTGCATTTACCAATCTAATCATAACCTTTTTCTCTTTAAACAGGAACTGGAACAGTTGCTAATGATGGAGACGAAAAATTACAGAAAGACCATAGTTTTTTACCAGAAACTATTGCAGAAAGAAAGAAGCAGCAAAGGTAAGATTATAGCAACTTCCCAGTAGTGAAATGGGCGCATAGTACTTCTAAGGATTTTTTTTTTCTGTAAATCAGAATCATTGATGTTCTTATGCTGTGTGTTTTAAATCTAAAGGTCCTGAAACTAAATCTATGTTGCCCAAATTGAGAGGACAGCTACAGGAGATGAAATCAAAAGTGCAGTTTCTTGAACTGGTAAAGAAATATGTGCAGGCAAGTCAGACTTTATTTTGCTTGTGTTCCACTTGTCATTTCATTACTGCATCAGTGTAGTTGGCTGCTCAAGTCAGTACATGAAATGTGAAATGTTTTGTGTCAAAGTGCTAAATTAAGTAGAATCTAAAAGAGTTCTTAAAATAAAGGTAATTGCTACTAGTATTGTTTAAAAAGGAATGTGAAATGTGATTTGGCTTTAAGTTGACTTGACTGCATTTTGTGTGGATTTTCCTCTTTATTTTTTCATGGTTTTGCATCTTTGAGCAGATCATGTATGCAGAGCAGTGGGGTGTAGAATCCTGTGTGCTGTCTACAGTCATTCACAACGGGAGAACTGACACCATGGATGTGGCACCTACAGATGAGTCATCTTTGCTTCTTTACTATAACACAGAGAAACACCAATGTGATAACCAAAATGGAATAAGAGTTCTGCAGGCTGGTACACCACTTGGTTTAATGGCTTATTTATATTCCAGGTGTAGTATATTTTGCACATCCTTAATTGGGAGTGGGTTAAGGCATAGTAGCTAATTCAGGGAAAAAATAGTCTTCATGATAAATTCTGGTTACTCAGCATTGCATAAATTCTCCTCTCTTTTGTATCAAGTTTAATGTTATTTCTGTGAACACTTATTTACATAAATAGGCATGGAAATGGCAAAAGACAATCTGATAAGAAATAAGGCAAACTGCTAAGTTTGGATTTGATTAAAACTTGAAACATTTGATAATAAATCAAAACCTAATAACTTTAAACTTTTTTATCATTTACTTGTTTGAGGTTTTGCTCTGATAGTTGCTATGGAATCAAGGCTTTATGTTACTGCCAGCAGTATAACAATGCTTCAGAACATACAATTTGATAATTTTCATTAACAGGATCTGGATGTGAAAACGTATAGGTTCTGTTTTACAGATTATTGCACCAGTCCCTGGGGACTGATCGAGATGCAGGCTTGTTTCAGAATCACAGAATGGCAGGAGTTGGAAGGGACCTCTGGAGATCATCTAGCGCAACCCCCCTGCTAAAGCAGGTTCACCTACACCAGGTTGCACAGGACTGCATCCAGGCGGGTGTTGAATATCTCCAGAGAAGGAGACTCCACAACCACCCTGGGCAGCCTGTTCCAGTGCTCTGTCACCCTCATGGTAAAGAAGTTTTTCCTCATGTTCAGGTGGAACTTCCTGTGCTCCAGTTTGTGCCCATTGCCCCTTGACCTGTCACTGGGTACCACTGAAAAGAGCCTGGCCCCATCCTCTTGACACCCGCCCTTTAGATATTTATAAGCACTGATCATCTTCATAGCCCTCTGTTGGACTGTCTCCAGTACTTACCTCTCTCTCTTGAGCTGGGGAGCCCAGAACTGGACACAGTACTCCAGATGTAGCCTCACCAGGACAGAGTAGAGGGGGAGGGGAACCTCCCCCAATCTGCTGGCCACACTCTTCTTGATACATCCCAGGATACCATTGGCCGCCTTGGCTGCAAGGGCACATTATGGCTCATGGCCAACTTTCTGTCCACCAGAACTCCCAGGTCCTTCTCCGCAGAGCTGCTTTCCAGCAGTTCAACCCCCAGCCTGTACTGCTGCACAGGGTTGTTCCTCCCCAGGTGCAGGACCCCACACTTGCCCTTGTTGAACTTCATTGCGTTCCTCTCTGCCCAACTCTCCAGCCACCTCAGGTCTTGCTGAATGGCAGCACAGCCTTCTGGTGTGTCAGCCGCTCCTCCTAGTTCTGTATCATCAGCGAGTTTGCTGAGGATGTGCTCAGTCCTTTTATCCAGGTTGTTGATGAACATGTTGAACAAGACTGGCCCCAGTACTGATCCCTGGGGAACAACGCTATCAACGGCCTTCCAGCTGGACTCTGTGCTGCTGATCACAACTCTGAGCTCTGTCCTTCAGCCAGTTCTTAATCTCGCTGTCCACTTATCTAACCCACACTTCCTAAGCTTACCCATGAGGATGTTGTGGGAGACAGTGTCAAAAGCCTTTCTTAATCCACTGCTCTCCCCTCACCCACCCAGCCAGTCATGCCAGCATAGAAGGCTACCAGATTGATCAAGCATGGTTTCCTCTTGATGAATCCATGCTAACTACCCCTGATAACCTTCTTTTCCTCCACGTGCTTAGCGATGATATCCAGAATGAGCTGTTCCATCACCTTTCCAGGGATGGAGGTGAGGCTGACTGACCTATAGTTTCCTGGGTCCTCTTCCTTGCCCTTTTTGAAGATTGGAGTGACAGTGGCCCTCCTCCAGTCCTCAGGCACCTCTCCTGTTCGCCATGACCTTTCAAAGATGATGAAGAGCAGCTTAGCAACAACATCTGCCAGCTCCCTCAGCACTTGTGGGTGCATCCCACTGGGGTCCACGGATTTGTGGGTATCCAGTTTGCCTAAATGATCTACAACCCGATCTTCCTCGACCAAGACTCTCTCTTACCTCCAGGGTCTGGGACTCCTGAGGGCCGGCCTTAGCAGTGAAAACTGAAGCAAAGAAGTCATACAATAACTCTGCCTTCTCTGTGTCCTCTGTCACCAGGGTACCCACTTCATTCAGCAGTGGGCACACATTTTCTATAGTCTTTCTTTTGCTGGTGGTGTACTTGAAGCAGCCCTTCTTGTTATCCTTGACATCCCTTGCTACCTTTAATTACAGGTGGGCCTTGATGTTCCTCGTTGCATCCCTGCATACCCTGACAATGTTTCTGTAATCCTCCCAAGTGGCCAGTCCCTTTTTCCACATTCTGTGAATGTCCTTCTTCTAGGAGCTTTTCCAGAAGCTCCTTGCTTATCCGCGCTGGTCTCCTGCCTCCTTTGCTTGATTTCTTCCAATCTTGTGCTTGGAGAAAGTGGTGCTTGACTATTAACCAGCTCTCTTGAGCCCTCCTACCTTCTAGAGCCCTGTCCCATGTGATCACTCCAAGCAGGTCTTTGAAGAGGCCAAAGTTTGCTCTCCTGAAGTCCAGGGTTGCAATCCTACTTATTGCCCTGCTTCTTCCACACGAGATCCTGAACACCACCATTTCATGGTCACTGCAACCAAGGCTGCCCCCAGCCTTCATATCCCCAACCAGTCCTTCTTTGTTTGTTAACACAAGGTCCAGCAGCACACCTCTCCTCATGGGTGGCTCCACCACCTGTGTCAAAAAGTTACCATCAATGTTCTGTAGGAACCTCCTGTGTTGCCTTTCCAGCAAATATTAGGGTGGTTGAAGTCCCCCATGAGAACCAGGGCCTGTGACTTAACCAGGGCTTAGATGAGGACAGAGATGTCCTTCAACCTCTAACTAGGGTGAGGACAGTGTTATTTTAAGGCACCTGAGCCATAATGAAGGATGGAAACTGCCTGAGAGACTCTATCAGACTTGTGCCACTGTAGTGGGAGCAACTTCGTCCCAGATACTTCTCCCAGCTCATCCTGACTCTGAGACCCAGTTACTTATCCTGCGTGCTGCTTTTCCTGGTAGTTAATATTTTGCACAAGGTGAACATTGTTTTGGAATCAGAGCTCCCATGTTCATCAAACCTAAACTTTCATGGTTAGCTGTAAGCTGTCAGGGACACATGACAATTAATCTGTGTTAACACATTGAGTGTGTGTGTGTATAAAAAAAAAAAACAACCCCACACTCATTATTAATGGGTGTATAAGTAGTATATTCTGTTGTTAAAGCAACTACTGCTCTAATTAGAGCTACAGGAAATATTTTCTTAAAATATCTACTTTTTATGCTGTTACTATAATAAAAATCTTTTTAAAATACATCAAGTGAGGTGACAGAAAAAAAAAAATAATATGTTATTCCATACTATTTAGAATTTAATTTCTGATAATAATAGAAATGTCATAGTGGTTCTTCAAAATTGCAAGTAGAGAAACTTCTTTTTAAACAAGTTATACTTTAAGTGTTGGCAATCACAATATTTGATGTGTAAAAATACAATAAAAAGGAATCAAGGGTTTGAGAATTTTAAATCCCTATTAATTCTTTATATTTTGAGGATTTTTTTGCTGTTGCTGTAATCTAATGCAAGAAGAAAACGTGTTCTTGCTTGTCTGAAGTTTTTCTTGTGCTTCACAGAAATGCATTTTTAGAAGGTTATGTACAGCAGTTTCTCTACACATTTCGCTATTTCTGCACGCAAGAAGAATTTTTGCAGTTTCTTATTGATAGAATCAGCAGCACTTTATCCAGGTACAGTAATTTCCTGTGAAAAATATTATCAAAACACAATTGACTTTTCCTCTCAATGGCAAATAACTATTTCTGAAAAGAACTACTTAATTCAATTCAATTTTTATGTTTGTTTTTGTGAGACTCTTGATAAGTGACAAACTAGAGCAAGTGCTATATTTGGCAATGTGTTACTGCTTTTTTTTTTTCTTTTGAATCAGTGTCTTACTTTTGCCTGTTGTTTGGTGATGGGTTGTAAGTACAGCCACAGCTTTGTTTCCCTAAGGCCATGGATTCTAGAGACGTGAAGCATAAGAATTTAAGATAGTGCAGTCAATACCAAATAATACTTGTGGTTTTTCAACACTTAAATTGGAATTGGTACCAATTTTGGTGAAGTAAGTCCCTTTTTCTTCTCACCAGTGCGAGTCTGGATCCTTCCACATCACTTACCAAAATATGTAACCGCAGTTTCTACATCCTGCAGGCTTGGATTGAAGACTGCTACAGTGTAGACTTTGCAACAAATACTGATCTTTTGTGTACCCTAAAAGAATTTATTTCTTCCAAGGTAAGCCAGAATTTCAGTAGAAGCTTTAAGGAAAAAAAAAATTAAAATCAGTTGAAGTCAGTTATGGTGTATGTAAGATTGTTATTACAAAAAACTGTCCTAATTACAAATAAAGTAAAGTAAAAGAAAAATAATTATATCTTTGGCAGCTATGCTCAATATGTCTGTTGTGGACAGACACAAATATTACAACTATATTGTGTCTTGCTTATAACTTATGGGAAATTGAGTTCAATATTCTGCCAACCTGATTTGCATTTACAGGTTGCTCCATTAAACGGCTATGGTGAGTGCTTGTTGGCATTGCTTGAGGATGCTTCTGTCAGGAAAAGTGGAAGTGCTCATCAGTGCTCCAGCATGGACACATGTGAAGAAGAGGGCGAGGAGGACAGAAAAACATTGCATTCTCTATGTAAAAAGCTCTCAGAAGATGTTTCCAGAAAGGCATGTCTTTTCTTCATACCGTGCTATATGGACATTCCTATATATTATTTTCTGACAAAAACTAGAGTATCTGGCTTAGGGTCTACACCCTGATTTAGTAAAATTTATGTACCTGCATTTTAAATTTTCTTTTGAAAGTATGTAAGGACTAAACAGTTCTGTAACTGTGGAAGTCATCTTAAGCCTTAATTGCACTCTGTCAGCTCTTTCAGTAATAATAGATCAGATAACCAAAATTTTGAGAGGAGTTGAACTCTTCATCCTTGGTGCTAGCATGTGACTCGTTGTTACTAGGAAACATTTTCCCCCTTGTCAAACATCAGTACTTTTTATTAGGCGTATGTCTTTGTAAGCCTATAAATACAGGGAAACAGTGGAGCATGAGGGGTTTCCTGCTAGAATGTCAAAGCTTGTAGCAAAAATTTGCCTGAACTTTTGTCTCTATTTGCTGGTTCATATAGTGCTAGTCAAAAGTAACCCCAGAAGCTGGAGCATACTGTAGGCTTTTCCTGAAAAAAAATCTCTCTACAGCGACCAAAATGATATGTGGAAATCAAATGTAACAATAATGTGGAAATCAAATTTAGGATCAGCCTCTTGATAAAGGTGTAGAATGCCATGGGATGTAATGGGAATTCAACTAATAAAGGGCAAGGAGACTAGAGAAACATGGACTTCTTTTATTGTCACTGCATCATAATGATACAGGAATGTGGAAGAAAGGAAAAGAATGGAAAAACAAGTATTTCTTTGGAAAGAATCTGTTTGATTCTAAGCAAAAAGAATATAAGAAATAGTAAGAGATAGTAAGAAGTAAAATATAAAACTTCAGAATATAAACTATTTTATGGCAGAAAGCTTGAATACACAGAATTTTTGATTGTTGATTGAGATCTGATAACCTCCTGCCCAGACTCCATCCACAGCTATGCGTATTATATTAGCTTAAAATAGCAATGTTGGATAAACCGATTAGTGTCTGGGCTAACCTTGAAGATTAGCGGAAGAGTTTTGCATCCATGAAGGTGTTTCTCTAACAAAAAATTCCAGAAAGTTAAATCAAGAGGAGACATAATGTTTGCTTTAGAGAAGTTGTAGCTTTACTCTTTTTTTCTGCAGAACTTTTACTGGAAACTTTCCAAAGGTATGGGACCAATTGCACAACATCAGAGAGAGCGGCTGTACACTATTTCATCAGTTTTGCCAAAACCATGCTATAACAGTTTTACAGAAGAAATTCCAGTCTCCTTTGCTAAAGCAGATGAAGTGGGACCATATCTCTTAATAGAATACAGTGTGCAACAGCTTTGTTGTCAGCTGACATTACTGCAGCAGGTACAAAGGACTAGGTTTACATGGAAGTACAAATAATGTCTATCTTCTTACTTTATAGTTAGCCTCCTTTCTCTACTGTTTCCCACCCCTGTTTCAAGCTTATTTCATAAGACTTTGAATTAAAATAAGCTGGTTTTTTCTTGCAATCTCTACAGTAAAATTTAGAATGGCTAATTCTATTCTTAGGCTGTGATCCCTCTGATAAATTTGCTGAAGGTAGGGTGGGGAGGGGGAACCTCTGTCACTTTTATCCCCAAGCATTTTGGAAGAACTGCTGGATCTAACAACAGATATATCTTGCTCTTTTTATTTAGGAAGTATTTCATAAATGTCATCCAGTACACTTTCTAAATTCAAGAGCACTCGGCGTTAAAGACAAATGTGTTGCTGTCCAAAAGTAAGTTGCTTATTTTAACTGTCCTTCTGTTCTGTTGATGCACAATATCTTCCTGTGTCACACCTTTAATACATCCAGGAAGAGAGAAACGTTTGAAATACTTAATCTCTTTTCAACAGACTAGATAGTCTTTATGTAAATTTTTGAATTTCAGATTTTATAGTTGTATATGTACCTATGGCAGATAAGTGGTAGGTCAAATTTGTAAGATGTCTTCTTTGAAATCTAAAGTGGGTCAGGCCAAAATATTTCTGAATACTTATATTAGAGGTATTGCTTCAGAGGTTTTACTTTTGTCGTAAAAAATTGTAGTGGTTTCTGAAACAGGCTACTTGATAATGCCTGTGCATATGTATATAAAATCTCATAGACCATTACAGAATCACGACTAGATGAAGTTGGAAAAGACCTCTCAAGATCGTGTAGTCCAGCCCCCTGGCCATAAGCAAGGTCAGCTAGAGCAGGTTGCCCAGGTTCATGTGCAGCTGGGTTCTGAATTACTCCACAGCCTCTGTGCAATGTTCATTTTGTCCTGTTAGGTAGATGAAGTATCAATATTCACAGATACATAAGAATTTTCCTATAGTTACTAAAGGGGTTACCAACCTATTTAAATTACTTACTCAATGGTAATTAATGTTTTCACCCAGCCACATGGACCTAATTATACTTGATTATGGTCTACTTCTTAAATACTCAGTGGATTCAGCTAGCTTCTAATTAGCACTTGTTAATTACACTACCTGTAGTAGGACTCTTCTGTCGAAGGATAGGGAACGAACATCTAAAGCAGCTCATCTTTTACGGATTGTTAAACAGCAGAGGCTAAATCAGCTGGATTGTACTGATTTGGGGTTCAGGCATGAGAAACAAGTTGTGTGGTGCCACAAGGCGTAAGGCTTGATTTCTTACATGGCTGCAGCTTTTAGTGAGTTTGGATTTCTGTCTATCATGTTGTCAGATTGGATGGTTTGTTTTATTCAGTGACAAGTAGTGAAGGTGTTTTTATATGCAGAAGTGTATACTGCATATGCCTATCTTATCACATGTGATTATCTTGTAATTATAAGGAAGAAAAAGTAACATAGCTCACTATGTACTTTGTAAAAGATCATAAAATCAAGATTGCAAGCACCGCAAAATTATTTTAAATTGTTAGAAGTCGGCATCTTCACAATCAAGATTTTCTTTGAAAATCCAATGTCAGCGTGAATTATTTTTGCCTTTTTTCCATTCTCCCCACAGAGCTGTTTCTACTGAGACAGTTGCAGTTAAAGTCTGTAATCTGTTTCTGTCAAAATGTGTACAAGACCAGTACCTTCTACAATTATTAAGAAATGCAGACAGTATTAGTACCTGGGTTGCTGCTGAAATTGTAACATGTCACACATCTAAGGTTCGTCATTGTTTTATTGTATTATTAATTTTTTTTTTATTGTATTTGAGTTATGTGGTAAAGCTGCAAGAAGTATTCTGAAATACACCTGTGAGTGGGCAGTTAACAATTTTGTTTGTTGTCACAAGGAGGGTCTTGGATGTTTTGTAGTAGCAGGTGTTAAAAACTAATAGAATGTAAGAAAAGGGTTGCCTGAGGAGAATACATGTCAGACATTAACAAGGACACCTCAGTGACAGAAAAGATAAAACTTTGTGTTGGAGGAAAATGTTATTACAGTCAACGATTTTGATAACAAATTCAAAAAGAATGTGAATTTCTTTTTCTTCTCGTTTAATTCTGTTGTGTAGATTTACCATATATATTTGGTATTTTTATATATATATATAGTATACCTTAATTATTTTTTTCAGCTGCAGGTGAGCTTGTTATCAAAATTTCTTCTTATAGCAAAATGCTGCTATGAACAAAGAAATTTTGCTACTGCAATGCAAATCCTAGCAGGCTTGGAAAATCTTATTGTACGACAGTTACCAGTAAGTTTGGGACTCTGTTCTGTAACTATGTTGCTTAATGTAATCTTGTTTCCAATATGGACATTAACGTGAAAAACAAAAATATGTTTTGTTCTATTGTAAGGCCTGGAAAATTTTACCTGCAAAAGTAGCTGAAATAATGGAGGAACTCAAGGCTGTCGAGGTATCGTATAAAGTCTTTAATGTAAAAATACTTCTTTTGAGATTGATAAGATGCAAAATCTGCTTAAATGGGTGCTTTTGCAGAATGAAAGCCTTAATTATTACTTTGTATTATGAAGGAGATTTTAATTCGATTTAAAACTGTTGACTCAATCTGAGAGTTTACGTTAATTTTCATCTCAGTATTTCTCAAAAATGTATCTTGTGTGACTAAAAATCAAAAGAAAAACATTTCAAAGCAAACTAGGACATTAGATGCACTTTTTCTGATGGTTTGTGCAGGAGCTTTGTGACTGATCTGTTTTGAAAAATCTTAATTGTTTATTTTATCACAGGCATTCTCTTACTGATCTATCCAATTTTGAATCGTAGAGTGAAGTTCTAAAATGTAATTTGGTCTGTGATTTAGAACAATTAAAAATTATGTATGGATTATCTTTTGATTAAAGTTGCTTACTTTATTTCTGCACTTTAAGATGTTTCCCACCACTTTAATTCGCTGGTCTTCAGCTGCAATGCTAAAAGTTAAAATTCGTGACAAATAAATATGTAGTGCTAAACACCTGAAGTGGAGAACTTCTTGTAAAACTTGTCGTGATACTTAAAATGAGATTTATCTGTGTGCATTTTTAAACCAGGTGTTTTTAAAAAGTGACAGCCTGTGCTTGATGGAAGGAGAAAGATTCAAAACACTTCCAACAATTCCATCAGCCCATGTTTTGGCTATGCATGTCCAACAACTTGAAACTGGAGGATTCACAATGACAAATGGAGCTCACAAGTGGACTAAACTTAGGTAATTAAAATTATTATGTATGCATGTCACCTACCTTTTTAAAATAGAATATTGTCTAATGGGGTAATGAGAGCTGATGCAACATTTCACAACAGTTTTAAGTAGTTTTAGTCCTTTTGACAACTAAAAGGACATATACTATAGAAGAGAATGCTTGACAGCTATGAATTTGCTTTGAAGTTTGGGGGGTTTGGATTTTGGAGGTCTGTTTTGTTTTGATTTTTTTTTACCACCAGCAAAACAAACTAATATTTTTTTTTTTTTACCATATTCTCTTTCTAGAAATATTGCAAAAGTTGTGAGCCAAGTTCATGCATTTCAGGAGAATCCTTATACATATACACCAGATTTCAAGCTGCAGTCTTACCTCAGGCAAAGAATAACTCGTTTTAAAGATGCAGACATTTCTGCCTTGGCAGCTGACAACTGTGCCAACTTCCATCAGATACCAGCAGAAAAACACTCTCGAAAAATTCAGGACGCACTGCGCAGGATGAAGGCAACGTTTCAGTAATTATTTATATTTCATCTGTTTTATTTCAAGTGTAGATTATAAAACTGGATTTCATCTCCTGGACCAATTCCCAAGCAAATACTTAAGTGACTTAATTTCAACTCGAGATAGTATTTTATATTTCTTAATATGGAATTATAAAATGCTGACTAATGAGATTTGAATCCCTGGCAACTGGATGACAGATCAAAAGAATAAAAATAAAGATAAAAGTAAAGAGAGAGTATAGATGAAAAGGATAATTAGTTTTGTCACTGTTCTTTAGCATAAAAAATAATTTGTCCACAAATATCTAAAAAAAATACTATGGAAGTAAGTTAAAATCAGAGCTTCTGTTGCGAAGTTGGCCTAGGAGAGTTTGAAGTGTAGTTCATTAAACGTTGAATATATTTTTATATAAACATAGTACACTTGTATCCTGTCACTGTGCATATAATTCAGGGACACAGATCCTCTGCTATCCTTTGACTTGTGTGTCTTGTTTTATGTTGTATATTATGAAAACTATAATTGACTTAAATAATTTGCCCTCTTTTTCCTCAAGAATGCTGAGGAAGGAGAGGAATGCTATGCTGCAACTTATTTTGTTTTGGTTTTGATGTCATTGAACTAACATGTTTCCTAATGAAAGTAAGGTCTGAATCTAAATATTACCAGTTTATTGCTCTGCTTCTGCCCTCATGGCCTTGTGAAAACAGTAAATGTGAAATTGCTTTTTTTTCTGTATTTGGCACAAGAATCACGTTGCCAATTTGATTCTTTGTGTGTACATTTGATTATGACTTTTGCTCCTGAGGTTGCTTTTGTAGATTGCAATGCTCCAGCAGCATTAAATAGAAGATAACTGTGTGAAATTTGGATCTGCAACTTGTAAAAGTTTGGTGCTAACCTATTTGTAGAGCTTACACTTCCAAGACCTTCTAAATGGCAATGAAATATGATGCTATTGCTAGAAAGTTTGTTGAGCTACCCAGGTTTATGCAAGGCCAGAATGTTAAGGCTACAAATTAGTTATAAATACAAATATTTCTACCTAGGGAACAATGATAGTGTTGGAAGAGAAGTGGGGAAGGGCAAGAAACAGCTAAAATGAAGTCTGTCCTGAAAGTGATTTGCTAGAAATGTGTTTAAAAAAAAAAAAAAAGGGAAAAAAAAATTTGAGAGCTGTGAAGAGCAGATGTGAGCTAACTGTCTTGGCATGTTTTAGTGACAGAGGAAGACAATGATGTAAGAAATGGGAAAGTGCACATCTCTAGTATTTTGCAAATTATACTATTGTGTTTGACAGAAGTGCATGTGCACATGTTAAATTGTAGATTTTTCAGTGTTTAAGAGGAAAGCTCCTCCTTTTCTCATGCCAATGTTGACAATATATACATTGCAGGCCACCTGCTTCTCATCTTTCTCAAACACAAGGTATGTCCATACTTTCCATTAAATACCTCAATTACTTTTTCATACTAATATATTAATACCAGACTTAACTTTTGTGCTCTTATTGGTTTAACAACTGGAGAACTCCATCTTCAACAGGGTTTTCTTGCATTTATTCTGCTTTTAAGATGATTTATTTTGTTATTTACCATATGTAGGTTTAGCATGTCGTTAGTTGTAGTGTTTTGACTTACCCTTAAGGAAGTAAAAGATGTTACTATTTCTCTAAAAATTTCCAAATGTGAAAACATTTTCTTTATCCCATCTTTATATAATACAGTGATTTAACAATGTTGATGCTAACCTTATCTTCAGACATACATTTCACATATTTGATCTATATGCATTTATTTTAAAGAATTTTTATTAGTAATTTGTTTTTTCTCAGTTAAAAATTACCATTCACTTAAAGCCACGCCTTGCCTTTGAAAGACAGTAAAATTTAAAGTAGCATAAGCTTTACTAATGTAAAGAACTCCATAAAACTTGCTAATCACATGATCTTAAATTCATTTTAGTAGTTGCCAGACTTGTTGAAATTGATTTTGTGAATTTACTTATCATTTATATTTTGCACTTAGTATAATTACCTCATATATTTCTTACAGTTTTATCAGGATTTAAAGCAACTACTACATCTAGAAAATATTATGTTTATTCTATGACAATAACTGGTGCTATACAAGAATTTAAAAATCATCTCCTGTCTTCTGTACAATGCTTTAGTCTGTCAGGCCTTATGTTGCTATAAATGTCTATTTTTGAATTATGATACTGCTTTGGGGTGTTTTCATCAATCAGATATTTAAGATTTTGTATTTAGACACCACCCCACAACAACAACAACAAATGTAAATAGCTATTAAAAAAAAAAAATCACTCTCTTGCAAGGGAACTGGTTTGCTTTTGTCCATGAGCACTGATATATGCGTATCTTATGTGACACAGATTTCAGAATAAAGTTATGTCTGGCATATAACTGTACTGCTTATTTATGATTTAATAAGCAGGAAGGGTTGGGCTAAAGTTTTCTTTCTTTGTGGGGAATGTCGTTTTAAAAGAAAACACAGGACAAAACATGTCAAAGAAGCAAGTTCAGTGGTATCTAGCTGGCAAAAATTTATTGGCATCGGTAATTGTATTGCATAACTGAGGGACTGTGCAGTCTGGACCCGTGTTTCCATTCCAATACCAAATTAGAATGTTTGGGGAAAAAATGGAGTTTGTTCTTTAAGCCAGAATTGCCATCAGCTGTCCTAGTTATTCATTTTTTTCCACACTTCCCTCATCTTGTTTTTATATTGTTTATTTTTCAGACAGTGACCCATGGAGCTTCTGAAATTGAAGTCTGCTCCTCGGGAGCCTTTCCAGATCCTCTGTGTCCCTGGTGCTCTTTCTGTGTCCCTGGTGCTCTTTCTGTGTCCCTTTGCAGGTGTCTGTCCCCAAGATCCCTGGGGTTTTAAGGCCTTCTGCTAGAGAGCTGGGAAGTGTGTCCTAGTTACACTAGCTGTATTTGAAAGCAGGTTTCCAGCTCCAACACCTCCAGAAGCCTGCCAGCAAGCAGGGATGAATTCAGTTGGATCCTATGAACTATTCCGTAGAAGCCCAAACCAAGTTGGAAAATATTTCTTGAATCAATACTGATTCATGATTCTGACAAATTTCTTTCCCTGGAAATTTTTTAACAACTTCTAAACTTTGCTTTTAGGGTTTTCTACATTCTTCCTTTATTAGATTGGTTCCATAAGCATTGCTGAGACTCAACTTCTGTGAGTACTGTATGTGATTTGCAAAGGATTACAAGTTTGGGAACTGTGTTTCTAAATAACAAATTAATAAACCACAGTTTGAAAGGAGGGAAGGTAATAATTTTTCACTGTAAAACATGTGGTTGATTGTTTCAATCCTTGATATTATGATGAGGGAACAAGTGCAGATAAATTATTTTTCTCCCTCATACTAGCTTAAATACAATCCAAAACATATCTTCGTTTAACTTACATGTTGTTTTCTGTTTAGAGTTTTTTCCAGAAAATCTTTTCTCAAAACTTCTGTATAAATAATGATTTTAAAATACATGTTGAGCTTTAGAAGGAGTCTCAAAGCATTGGAAATACAGGTTTGAACAGTATTTGAAAACTCAAGCCCCATAAATCAAGCTTAATTGAGTGGCAATCTTTGGGATTTGCCTTACCAACAGGTATTCGTCACCTATAATTTTTGTCTTCATTTACTTATAAATGTAAGAAATTTTCAGATAGTCATTTTAACTACCCCCACTGCAATTTGCAATATAAACATTTTTTCCCCAAGAAATCTAGTAATTAATTTAAGTACCAATCAATTACTAATTTGTGATGGAAGATTCTATTGGCATTTTTTATGTGGTTTTGGATGCTGATAATATGAGAATGAACAATTCCACCTCTCCAGTCTCTATTTGGAAACTCCTGCAGTACAAAAGTTTGAAGGACCTTTTCACATGACTGTTATTAATCTATTAATGAGTGACAACACCCCCTGTAGACTAGAAACTTTGATTTGCAGGATCTTCTCTCCCTTTGCAAAGAAAAGCTCTTTAGTTTCTTCTATTACAATGTTTGAAGAAGGCTTTTAACTATTACGTGAAGGTTTTTTGTGAACAACCTGAAAGTATGCCAGGACAGCTTCAACCTGGCATTATTTTAGTGTGCTTTCTATTCGGTGACGTTTCTGTGTCTGACGTGCAAATGGAATTGGCAGTTGCTGTCATACATCAGGCCATTGTGGCAATCTAGTCTAGGATCTGGTCTTTCATCATTCTCTTTATGCATTTTTGGTCTAATGTAAATGGTGATGAGTCCACAGATGTTAGCAAAGTAACTCTTCTCTGTGAAGGTATACTGCAGGACAGAGATCAAATAGCTCTGTTAAAGACCATTGTTGGAATATAAAATCCCCCAAATTAGTTTAAACAAAATACAATTGACCAAAAAACTGAAACCTAGAGAAAGATGTGGTCAACTGCATTAGGTCACCAAACACATAAGGTGAAATAGCTGATGAATTACTGAATATCTAAGGCTGCATCAAAAATTCCAAGGACAATGTATTTTGAAACATCACTAGTAGTCCCTCATTTTTTGTTTGCCCAGACCAACGGATATACTGCAGTACACTGTGCTTCACATCCCTACCCCTACCACCTGCTTATCTTGCTGATGATAGCCAGGGTATGCTTTGGTCTGAGCCTGGCATGGGGACAGTTTAGATGTAGCTTTGGTTGTCTAAGGCAGTGCTGGGAGCATGGGGAGTTATGGGAAAAAGCTAGACCTGTAGTACACAAAATGTTGCTGCAAAGTATTGAAGGGAACAAGCATGTGGAAGGAAGGAAAGACAAGGGGAAAGAATACTTAAATGTATGTCAAAAATGTGTATAGTTGTTTTAGAATCTAAAGACAGGCCTACATAGGTTTTTTTCTGTGTTTAAATTAAAAGGGCTAGGTGCCATGATATGGGGTCTGTAACTCATCATCAGCCAGAAAGAGAGTGGAGACTTCATTTTGTACAAACGGGCTACTATTTAAGAATTTACTTTGATTAATAGAGATAAACTAGTTGAAAATCTGAAGGTGGAAAGCTACCATGAGACAACAGAGTTCATGATTCAAAGGAAAGGGATGAAAAGAAGCAGAATAACAACAGTGGGCTTCAAAAAAGCAAACTTCAATAAACTCAAGGAATTGATAGGTGAGGTCCTGGGGAA